CCTGACGTGATCCATGCCGGGGTGCCATGGATAGCATGCAGGGAAGCAATGGTGGCATTCAGACCTAGGTCACCCTGCACCACATGTCGTCGGCCCTGTGCGGTCATCAACTCACAAAAAGGTTTACGAAGTTCGTTCGACGCCTTAGTTGCTATCCCACAAGCTGTGAGTCCCTGGCCCATGCACCCAATCCCACTGCAAACTTCGATTGCTTCCTGAAACATGTATGGCCTAGCGATCCCATGAGCAAGGACATGTCCCTCAGTCACTTCCAAAGTCAAATGCCTGTCCTTCTGCAAAACGACCACGTCAAGCAAGGCAACTGCTGGGGCATCTGGAATGACACCTTTGACAACCAACAGTTTCTGTCCCAACGTCGACCCGACCAGGCTTTTCGATCCGGTGGGGTCAATGACAATGGTGGCAGCCATGACGTCCACCTTGTCTCCCACCTGTACCTCTTCCCAAAGAGGTTCCAGCCGAAAGTCAGCGAATCCCATGGCAGTCATCCCTCAAGGCGTTCGGCGGGCCCAGTCTGACCACTGGGAGGCACCTTGAACCAGACTCCTGTGTCGTTCCTTTCTATTGGTTGGTTGGATTCCCCTGTTGGATTATGATAGTTCCCAATATAAGATATATAAGTTAGTATGAACCCCAATAATCATCAGCCAACACGGGTTTTAAACACTTCTCACCAAAACTATCATCTCTTTAGTAGGGATTTCCTATCAACCTTCATTGTCCACTAAAATAGTCCGTGGAGGCTATGTCTACCAAATATAGATATGGCAATGGGTCAAAACCCTATCCTTCTGCTACAAAATCATGTGATTTATGGATCTTCATCCCCAAAAATATGGAAAAATCATGAAAAATCCATAAATTTCATAGGTGTTGATTTAAGTTGATCCATCCCCATCTCCACGGTACCTTCCAACGTTTAAGCAACGCTTGCGGCACCGGCACGACCGGCGCGACCCCGGCCCCGCTTGGTGCACCTTGTAAGTCTTGCTTGCATCGAAAGGCTTCCTGAGTCGACTTCCAGCTCTTGGAACAGGCGAAACAAAAAAACGATTGGATTTCAGATGATTTCAGTTTCTCTTTTTCCAAAAAGCAAAACGGAACCGTCCGTTTTGCATGAATAATATGAATACGCTGAACATATATCTTAGAATCCCATCCAAGTCGATTATATCAACCATGAAAGAAACAATTTGCCTAGCGAAATGAACCTGCAAACGTCATCCGGTGCCCATGGTACGTTATTTCTCTTATCAAGGTATGTAAACGATGCTGAGCTCCATGTGAAAAAAATCCACACTCCATGGACTAGCTGCCAAGGCGCCCAAAAAAACAATAGCTAAGTTGGTGAACATAACGGGACTGACGATGTTTGTGAAAGATACATTGACAATTGTGCTGATCATCGTCAATCTGGATTATATGATGAACTATGAAACATTATGAAACCATAGTTGGATGATAACTAATTGTATGACTGGTTGATAATATTTGATAATCATGCTTATAATCATCCAATTATGGTCAATAGGGGTTTGAAACCACAGCTACAACTGTGCGGGTACCAGCTTGAATCCATTCCTGCAATCTCTGGCTGTCTGCCTTTTTTATGGGATCCATGATCGAGGGGTTCCACAAATTGGAGTCGAATAAGGACCAAAACGGCTGGTGCCAATAGCAGTCTGGTTGGTGTTTGTCTAACCATCTTGAAAAATCTGAAAGTCAATGGCAAGGATTATCCCATATATTATGGAAAATAATCCAAATGTTTGAAACCACCAACCAGCAGTGGTTTAGAGGACATGAGCGTGTTGAGTTGACCTTGCGAAGACTGCAACTGAACTTGGCGGAGACTTTGCGCCATTTTACCGCTACACACACCTGAACTGGTCTTGGACTTCAGAGCTGTCACCACCGAAATCCGGATTGCCCCAGGTCACGACTGATCCATCCGCCAGGATGGCGGCAAATGCGAAGTCACTTGCTTGAACCTGCTGGACACCCTTGAGCTGATCTTGGACTTCAGAGCTGTCACCGCCGTCATTGGGATTGCCCCAAGTCACGACTGACCCATCTGCCAGGATCGCAGCAAATGCATGCTGGGTTGTTTGAACCTTCTGCACACCTTTGAGCTGATTCTGGACTTCAGAGCTGTCACCGCCGTCATTGGCATTGCCCCAAGTCACGACTGACCCATCTGCCAGGATCGCAGCAAATGCGTGCTGGGTTGTTTGAACCTTCTGCACACCTTTGAGCTGATTCTGGACTTCAGAGCTGTCACCACCAGAACCTGGATCGCCCCAAGTCACAAGCGACCCATCTGCCAGGATCGCAGCAAACGCGAAGTGAGTTGCTTGAACCTGTTGGACACCTTTCAGCTGATGTTGGACTTCCGAGCTGTCACCACCACAATCTGGATTGCCCCAGGTCACGACTGATCCATCCGCCAGGATGGCGGCAAATGCGCCCTCAGTTGCTTGAACCTGCTGGACACCTTTGAGCTTATTCTGGACTTCAGAGCTGTCACCGCCATTATGTGGATTGCCCCAAGTCACGACTGACCCATCCGCCAGGATTGCAGCAAATGCGAAGTGAGTTGCTTGAACCTGGTGGACACCTTTCAGCTGATGTTGGACTTCCGAGCTGTCACCACCACAAGCTAGATTGCCCCAAGTCACAACTGACCCATCCGCCAGGATTGCAGCAAATGCGCCCGAAGTTGCTTGAATCTGCTGGACACCCTTGAGCTGATGGTGGAATGCAGAGCTGTCACCACCATTACGTGGATCGCCCCACGTAACAACCCGATCACTTCCACAGCAAAACAATGCGAAAGCAATTCCTGTTGCGGAAACCTTCGCCTCTATGACAATGGCTGTCAGGTGGTCGCCTTCTTCGAGTCCTGCAGCTTGCAGAGACAATGTAGGATCCACCACGTGATGGTCTGCATCCACAAGCCTCAAGAAGCCAAGTTGAAATGATTTCTGCACCAGAACCTTCAAGTCCCCTACTTTGGAGGACTCCGAAATCGAAAACTCCTCACTGCGACCGCTTGGCAAAGCTACATTGACTTTAAACATGTGTTGAAGCTCAAAAAAAGTACCACTTGGGGGCGCAGGGCCCCATGAGTTGGGAGGGTTGGGGACCCTAAAACATCCTAAAACTATAAAATATCAATGGCCATTCCAGGATCCGAATTATTGGAGATACCTACCATATATAAGGCCTATTTTTTAGGCCTAATTTTCAGGATATATCCCCAGAAAATATGGCCAAACGTATGGTACGTTTACGTACCTCCATTAATTCGGATCCTGGAATTCCCATTGAAAATATCCACCTCCACAGTAGATCACTGGACCTGCACCCCTGGTCACTCTCTCTTGAGCCGTGTAGCTCGGACAGGTTTCCAAACTGGACCGTGATTCGGACAACGGCCATCAGTCAATGGGAGATCTTCAGGATCCGAATTCATGGAGGTACTTAAACGTACCATATATCAGTTTGGCCATATGAATTGTGGGGAATAGATCCTGAAATTTAGGCCTAAAAAATAGGCCTTTTTTTCTATGGAATCGGTAGCTCCAAGAAATCGGTTCCAGTTCGTCATGGCCATTGAATCAGGAGGCTATCGATCCAGTCTGACTGGGATTTATTGAGGTGATCTCCCACGAGTCGCAAAACTCAGAGAGCTCAAATCCCCAGAAATCGCTTAGATCCATAGAAATCATAGGATATTTCCGTGAAGCCATGGTTTAAAACACTTTAAGGACAGTTGCGTTCGTTTTAAACCTTCAATAAACCCATCAATCCAATCATCCGTTGTCTCCATGATCAAGCCATGGATGACCGACAAAAACCCATGGGTGTTGATCTAATTGGGGGAATACTTTAAAAAAAAAATCAAATTCACCCATATGGTTTTATCAGGTTAAACATCTAAGTATCTGTTGAGTATATCAGTATCTCTAATTAAAAAAATCAGGATTCTGAAGTGTATAGATGAATGATGTATGGTATACCATAGCTGCCATTGTGTATGACCATATCTAGTTTAGATGACCACATCTCCAACTCAGGTTTGAGGTGAGGTGGCCCATGGTGGCCCTTCTTCCAGCAGTTGGTTATGGTTGGTTTAGATTCAGCCCATAAAAACTATAGTTATGAAGATCAGAATTATCATAATATCTGGTTGGTTAATGATTGTTTATGGTTAATGGTTGATGATTATCTATGGTTAATGGTTAGAAAGTATCTATCTGGTTGGTGGTATACCTACCCCTCTGAAAAATGATGGAGTTCGTCAGCTGGGATGATGAAATTCCCAACTGAATGGAAAAAAACATGTTCCAAATTCCAAACCACCAATCAGCCATAGTTTTTTTTTGATTTATGTTCACCAACTTAGCTATCGTAAACAGTGGCCCCACTTTGTAGTTACTTCATGTGATTTCAGAGTTATTTCCATCAACCCCGGCGCTTCACCACCGGCCCGTGTCAGCCATAGAACACCAAACGCTCCCTCAAGCCCTCAAGCTTCAAAAACACTGAAATCACTGGCAAATCGATGTTCATTCTCCCAGTCGATGTGAAGGAATTTCTTGAATCATCCGTATAGTAAACAGACCGTTGATCTGTTTGTTTTCTTGATCATGGGTAACTAACAAACCATTCACATCTATTCAGTTTGCATCTTCGACGGTAAACTGTTCTCACTTGAGCAGTGTTCAAAACCCTGGTTGAGGATTAGTTCGGGGATTATACTACCCTGTATATAGGGATTATAATTATAGTTATAATGATTCAAGAACGGGGAATCCCCATTAACCAACCAGTATAAACATAGAAGGATAATTAAATACGGAACAGTTGATTTGCCATGGCCAATCTGCCAAATTCCCTGCAAAAAATGACAAATTCTTAGCTGGTGAACGTAGATAATCCCAGCCAGATACCAAAAGACTATTTCAGATTAGTTTCTACCCATCTAAGATTGACCTAGTTGACAGTGGATCCTCTGGATCCCTGGCAGTCATCATCCCCAGCTGGCCCAAGCTGTTGAAACGCCTTGACACGACACGGCAGATCTTGGGCCCAGACTTGTTGATCTCTTTGATCTCGTGGGTGGCCTTATCTGCCTCCGCTTGCCCATCCAGGTGTAGGAACTCGGGTTTCTGACCGCCTGGCGATGGAAGCATCGGAAGCATATGGGGATCACTGGGGAAAACAACGGAAGCATATGGCTGCCACAGATCCAATGGGGATTGCCTGGATGGCTTAATTATGTGTTAAACAAGTGATTGTTAATTATTGTATGTGTATATATATACAGAGTTGACAGATAGTTTATAAGTCACCTTTCAAAAACACAATCATGGTTGTAGTGTGGGGAGATAATGGAAGAGAATTGGATAAAAATTGGCCTTGATAGGTATGTAAAACGGTTTTACCAAGAATAATGCGGATTTATGCGGAAGTATTTGATTAAATTTGTGATAGCGAAGATGGATTATACGGGACGTTTCCATAAAACATGGGGGCAAATGGGCATTCAACTGCCAAGAATGGGGATTGATAGTTGATTCATCTGATTGTGAGAGCGGATCGATTTGACTAGGTGAATTAGGTGAATTCAATAGTTTATTGTGATGAAATATGTCTGGTTGGTGGTTGAACCCTACCCCTCTGAAAAATATGAGTGAAAGTCAGTTGGGATTATTCTTCCCAACATCTGGAAAAATAAAATTCATGTTCCAAGCCACCAACCAGCGTTTGTTGGTTTATAAAGCATTATAATCCCCATTAACTATAGTTATATCTACCATAAACCATATAGTTAATCCACATGTCCAAACCACCAACCAGTAAATGCTGTTTTTTTAAGCAACTCAGCTGGCCGTGCGGGGCACCACCTTCTGAGGATCTTATCAGACCAACAATGACGTCTGAAGGCCCAATACGAAACCAGGGTTGTTTTTTTGGATAGCCCAGTTTACCCTCTGGTAATTTAACATAGCTATTGAAAATGGCAATTTATAGTGGATTTACCCATTGAAAATGGTGATTTTCCATAGCTATGTTAGTTTACCAGAGGGTATATCATCCCAAAATGATGAGCAATCGCCAAATATTCCAATACTCATGATATTTAAGAACATGTTTTTTTTTGTGTATTTGCCTGGTGGTATTCATGGGAATGCAATGGGTATTTCATGGAGAATGGAGATATAACCAACATATGTATACAAATATATATATATATATTCTTATATATATAATGTTACCCTCTGGTTATTTAACATAGCCATGGAAAATCACCATTTTTAATAGGTAAACCATCTATAAATGGGCCATTTTCCATGGCTATGTTAAATAACCAGAGGGTATAACATAATGACGGTTGGGTGTGTCTGAACATGGGGATACCAAACAACATGGAAATTTCAATAGGAACAGATTGGAACTTCACCGATAATCTTGGTGAAAGAGTTTCACCTGCAAAAACGAAGATATGATGGAATCGAATGGGAGATATACCCTAGGGTAAACATAGAAAAAGATGTGGAAACCCCCTGGTTTCCTTGGGGAAAAGAATCTACAAAGAGTGGATTTTCATGGATTTTCCACATCTACAGTATGTAATGTAAACATTTACATTTACCCCGGGGTAAACCAAGTTGATATCAGAATGTGGTTTACAACTTGATTTGGATCAAGCCAATCCAGGGCAAACCGCGCATAGACTGGTCAAGGGTCAAGGAATTGGATACTCTAAAATGACCGAATGGCGGTCTTCTGAAACACTCCAAATAGAGATATCCCCGACAACAGCAAAAAATGGAGATGGCTTATTGGTTGATTTCCCACACAACTTGCTCGATTCAACTGCCTCATTGTGGGGATTGTTCAATGGGAATGCAATGAATTCAATGGAAAGAAATGGGAATGTATTTGGCTAACACATGCAAACAAGAGGCGTACATAGGTGTTCAAAACAAACAATTTTATGATGATATAATGGGATGATATGGGACATGTAGGCTATAATGAGATGATTTCACTTTGTCTCAATATGGAGGGGTGTCCCCTAAAGGATTCCAACCGCTGCTGGGGACCATATCCGGCGTATACATGGATTTCTAATATTGGTACAAGCTGGCGCCCTACAGTTAGCTAGGTTGACTTATAACTTGGTTGACTATGGGGCATGCTGGATATATCGAACTAGTTACTATGGCTTATAAAAGTTAAACTTTATCCAACGTTCACATCACTGGGGGCACCACCTTATTATACCCCAGGACTCCCCAGGTGTACGTTCATCACTATCAAAGCCTCATTAAGGGCTGACCTACTTCATGTGGGATTCACCCAATGCCATCTGCATCGACCATCCCCAGTCGTCATCACCATAAATTGATGTGTACCAACAATACCCCCAAATGCTGGATGATTGGGTTTAATTACCACATGATCATCATTGATTAAAGTTCATATGTACCCTCTGGTTATTTAACATAGCCATGGTATAGATGGCCCATAGAAATAGATGGTTTACCTATTAAAAATGGTGATTTTCCATGGCTATGTTAAATAACCAGATGGTAATAGTAATTGTCATGAATTATCATTCTCATGAACAAATTGGGTTTGGCAATGTTTGGCATCATTGCAACCCCGAAATCATGTTCGCTAGGTGTACCACTGTAATGCCCTAAATAACTTCCATGATGTCCCTGGTTGCTACCCTCTGGTAAACTAACAGTTCGCTATTGAAAATTGCCATTTATAGTGAGTTTTCCCATTGAGAATTGTGATTTTCCATAGTTATTATGTAAACGTTTACCAGAGGGTAACCACCATCAACCCCTCATTAAGGAAGGGATGATCATTCTCAACAACCATTATTCACCCCGTCGAAAAAAAACATCAGTGGTGGATTATTGGGCTTACCACATGATGCTCATAAACAAGCATTATACAAGCATTTATATAACCCGTAAGCCCAAATAAAAACTTCCATACATGTTACCATTGATAGCAAAAGATTAAAGTACTAAAGTATCTAAATGGCAGTGTGTCAAAACCTTGTACCCCTGTAGTTCACATCAAAATAGCTGGTAAATGGATGTTCATCCCACTACAAATGGTATTAATAGGTATTGACCCATCCCCAAGTATCTAAATCAAAAACCGCAGTTTACCCAGTTCAAGAGTTGCTTCGACCGTCCAACAGTCGCCACGACTGAGGTCGCCACTCTTTTCACGCGAGAATTTCACTGCCTGGCGGACGACACCGAACAGAACATGGCGAATCTTACTAGATGGGGCCCCTTATTATATAGTTACAATTTTGTAAACCATGAAAAAACATTAAACATCCATCTAAGTACACATCATCACCAGAAACCATCGTTAAACTAGTTAGAAACCAACTTACCTAGCACTACCTTGTAGAAAGAATACGAGGTAAACATCCATAAACTTTGGTGGGATATCATGTTCCTCAATCAAACTTGCCAAAGAAATATGTATGCGCTTTTCACTCACCAAACTAAGCTTTGCCCAGATGAATCGTCAACTCTCTTGGATAAATCCCCGCCATTTTTGGTTGGGTTTAACATAACATCATACAACCACTAATAACCACCAGAATATATACATTGCGGTGGCAATAAACTATATAATATATAATATAACATAAGATACTATAACACAACATTGTTAATATGGTTCATATTATTATGACGTTAATATAGTTAATAACACCAGGAAACTCACCATATATAACATATTATAACATATTATAACATAATATAACATATTATAACATACTATAACATATTATAACATAGTATAACACATGTTTGAACATAGTAACACTCTATATAACATATATAGTATAAACACAAAAAGAAAAACACCATGATCTTATCCCACCAAAAAAAAACAGCACCTCCGCAATCTTAGATCCTTTCATGTCGACCACAGCCATTGCCTCGCTGCGAGGCCCCAGGGCCCCGGGTCCAGGGACTTCAAACATGTTTTAACTGGTGGTTAATGGTGGTTAATGATGGTTAATGGTGGTTAATGATTGTTAATGATGATGGTTATTATATGGTTAATGATGGTTAATAACAATCTAGTTGGTGGTTGAACCCTACCCCTCTGAAAAATGATGGAGTTCGTCAGTTGGGATGATGAAATTCCCAATATATGGAAAAATCCATTAAAATCCATTAAACCACTATAATCCATGATTCCCAAGTGAATGGAAAGTCATCAAATTCCATGGTTCCAAAGTACCAACCAGATCAATGATGGGACTGAACTTCACCATCATGATAGCAGTTAGCTGATTTTACGGGCTTTGATCGTCAAAGATATGGGGATATCCGGGATATCATTGAAAAAACACCTGGTTGGTTGATGATGTGGGGTTATACTATCATATCATCGAAAACTATAAGTGGTTATAACCCCACATGTGATATCCCCAACTGGTATTGGATAGTATAACCCCACATAGTATACTATCCAATACTGGGGATTATCACAATCCATGGGAAATCTCCTAGAATCAACCAGTGAGGATCCAAAGGGAAAACGTGAAAACGGTTTTGCACACGTTTCGGATTTTTGAAAAAATGTTTAAATGGTAGAAAAAAAATACCTGGAGTAGATATGTTTCATGAATCTTCAAAGATATTCCTCACGCATATATGACAATCTCTTTGAACAATTCCATATTCAGACTTCGGGACGATTATAATCTTCTCCTATTAAAAAGGAACCAAGTTGGGCCCAATTTTCTTTAGCCAACAGATTTCCATTGCATGGTTCACCAGCCGGAAATTCACTGTCAGAAAAAATCCACCATCCGGTCATCAAACATCAATTCCATGAGATTTCATAGGATTTCACGGGATTTCATGGGATTTCATGAGGATTTCATGAGGATTTCATGAGGATTTCATGAGGGTTTCGGATTTCATGAGGATTTCATTAGGACCAGGATGTAGAACCAACCTTTATCGGACATTTTCCGGTTACCCCAGTTGCCCCAGTGTCAAATATCGCAGGCCGGGAAATCCAAGGTGCTTCGTTGTAGGCCAACTCGTTGTAGAGATCTCCCAGCGTAAAGGGCCCCGCTTCGTAGTCCGCGCGGCCTCAGGGTTTTTACGGAGTACGGGAAGGATCATCGAAAACCACGATGAACCAACGGAAAAATTCTATGGTTTTTCAGTGGTATCTATTTCGATCATTTCAGGTGAAAATTTAAGGTGAAACTAAACCTTAACTGAATAGTCCCAACTGAATAGTCCCATAGTTATATCTACCCTCTGAACTAACACTTCGCTATTGAAAATGGCCCAGTCGAAATAGTGGATTTACCCATAAAAAAATGTGATTTTCCATAGTTATGTAGACGTTTACCGGAGGGTAAATGTTATAAGTTATAAGCCACTTAAAAGAAATTGTGGTTTTTCATCCACGACATGGGGACTTCGCTGATCGCGCTGATCCTGATATATCCTGATATATCCTGATATATCCTGATATATCCTGATATATCCAGGCGCTTACCGCCCATGACCAGTGGCAATCCTCCAATCCCAAATGATATGACCATGTAACGGATGGTTTTTTGTGGTAAAACGGTAAAACCTACGCCATCAACGTCATTCAAACATATTCAAACATATTCAAACATATTCAAACTATCACCAATATGACCATAAAGGGATAAAATTGAAATCGGTTCCCCTTTGTAGTATTTATGGCAGTGCATAAAAATACCACATTATGAACAAAATAATGGGGACACAATGGAAATAGATAAGCAATAACCATCCAAAAGATGAACGTGTATTAAAGTATGTACTACATAATTAACCACCCAAAATGCCACATAAAAATGCGGTTGGTGGTTTCAACCCGACCCAAGCATTTGCGTCATTGACAAATATAACCCTAAATGTGGTTGACAAATAATGAACATTGAAACAACTCATCTGTATCATGTGATCAATATTCGATGGGATTGTTCTATTTGGATAATATTTGTGTGAAAAATGTTGGGGAAAGACGCAAATCGTCGGTTTTTATGGTTTATAACCCGCATTCTCAATATATCCACCATAAATCCAAGCTAGTGTAGTTGTAAACCAACTGACCGAAGATGAATCTGATCAAAAAAAAAATCAATCCCCATTTTTGCTTGTTATTTCTCGATAATTGTCCATCATGTTTCATGGTCAAATCCAATGTTATATCCAACATGAACTAACATGTTCCAGTTAAATCATCATTTTCTAGTTACAGTAAACTCCTTCTGTGCCCCCCCATGTTTGATGCAAAAAACTCCCTTTCTTCCCAGAGCCTGGCCCTGCCTCGGATGTCGCCGCCATTCAGCAAGACCAACTCAACCCCGGATTCCTGCATTCCTCAGGGTTCCAAACGCCGGCGTTTGTGAGGTCGAGAAAAGCTACTGTAGGCGATGCCGAGCCATCATAAACTAAAGACCTGTTTTTTTTTGACCAACTAACATGTTGTAAGATATATGTCTGTACATGTATTGTAACACGATTGCATAACATTGTATACGCATCATCACTTACCTTGGAAGAAGACTACGAAACAAAGATCTGGGATCTCACTGTTGATGGTGGCACTGTTGCCCGAGATCACCCTGGCTGTGTCTGAAACTATCTGAAACTGGGACCCCCAGTTATAGAAGCCATGTTTTTATATGTTTGTGTCATCTTCATGTCATTTTCATAGGGAAAGTATCTGAAAGTATGGTTGATTTTTTTCATGATAGATCCAGTGGAATTGGGGAAGACCAGTTGATGAAGCGGCGATCTTAAGTGTGTCTGTTCCCCAGGAGACATGTGAATCATGTGAAGCCAAGCAATTGAACATTGGCTTCCAAACACCTGAGGATCATCCGGCTTTGCAAGTGGTTATAAAATGTTAATAACTCTTGTTAGTAGGTCCCCATTCAGTGGTTGATCCCATCTATAAAGGATAACTATGGTTATTAGTAACCACTTAATCACACAGTGCAGATCCTCAAGGTAGGTTTGGAACTCTTCCATTTCTTTTTCGGAGATAAATTTGGCACAGCCCATCCTCGTTGCACGATGATTTTCCCGCAAAAAGGTCGACCGGCAAACCCAGGACCGTTTTCATCACTGGACAAGTGATCACTTGATGGTCAATCTGACTGGTAGTCCACACAAAATGGTCATCTTTTGCTAGTTGGCTGGTTATTTTCTATAGCAGATAGCAAAAAAACTATCCAGACTTGGCTTCTACCTATCCAGTCACTTCGGGATCACCAACGATGGTTCCAACAAGCGCTAGCCCTAATGTTTGGGGCTTATCAACCATCGATTTCCGGGCGAACTTGCTGGGTGATCCCTAGCCATAACCAAACCACCAGAAATATGCCACCGAAAACGACTACAGTAAGTGCATGGCGATGAAATCCATCGTTCAGAAAAACTCCCAGTGACCCAGGTTGTGAAAAAATGATATGCCAATTTTCTTGGATGTTTGATGATTTGTAATGGGAAAATAAATAAACAGTATCGCTTCTTTCATAGCCGAAACGACACCCAAGAGATCACTCAAATGGCCGGAAGATCCGTGGCGAATCAACGCTGAGTCCCAATGTTGACCTCACCTCTATGCTTAGGGCTTCGTATATGAAGCTCAAAAAATCTGGCTGGCGTTTGCCATACTAAAATTTAATAACATAAAAGTTTCTTATTGTAGCAGTGCAGTGTTGTGTTGTCCCCCATGTTTCTCCATCTATCCCGAGTCCGCTCATCTCAATCATTCTTCAACCTGGCCGTGAAGGGATGAAGGGATGAAGCAACAGGATGGCTGCAGGCAGCCCTTCAAACAGGGAACATACCCTCTGGTAAACATACAAAGAGCTATTGAAAATGGCAATTTATAGTGAGTTTTCCCATCAAAAATGGTGATTTTCCATAGCTACGTTAAATTACCAGAGGGTACCGTTGCGCACCAAAAACGCAACGTGGCGCTGTGAAGATGGTGGTTGTGGGATTTCACCTGGCTGCCTTTATCAATCCCTACCAAGATGTCCAAGATGTCTACAGGACACCAAAAAGATGGACAATCATGTAGAACCATACACCATTTAAACAAATGATTTGATTTGAAAGATACAGATAATCTACAGGATAGTATGGATATGAAAAATGAGAATGTTTATGAATATGGAGATTTCTGGTAACTTGACTCTTGAGCCGAGAAACAAAACATGTAGCTGATAGATGCACCACATGAGGGAGATTCAATTGAGAAAACACGTCATCTTCAGCAAACGTAAGTAAATGGGACAGCACCACCAATGAGAGGCTCACTGGCTTACTGATCATTGCTACAGATCATTGCTACGCCCCACTGACAATCTGGTGGGATGATTGAACAACCCCTGATCAGAAGCCATGTTCAACCCCAAACCTAGGATTACCTTTTCTTTCAACTTTGTACTGGTTGGTGGTATACCTACCCCTCTGAAAAAAAATATGAGTTCGTCAGTTGGGATGATTAAATTCCCAATATATGGAAAGTCATAAAATTCCATGGTTCCAGTCACCACCAACCAGTGTATTAATTTTAGGTACCCTCTGGTAAACTAACATAGCTATGGAAAATCACCATTTTTAATGGGAAAATCCACTATAAATGGCAATTTTCAATAGCTATGTTAGTTTACCATAGGGTATACAAACTCAAGAATTCGACTGTTTTACCATTTCCATGCGTCTATCTGGGTAAATCCTGACAATTCACCAAGCTTAAAAGTGCCCGTGATGTCGCAACAGTTGTTGGACCCCATTCTATCCATGTCTATCACCGTTACCCCCATATATGGGGATGGGTCAAAACCCTATCCCCCTGGTGAACATCAAAATAGCTGGTAAATGGATGTTCATCCCCCTAAAAATGGTATGT